TATAGATCAGCACATATACAAGTGGCCGAATATATATATGTACTGCGATGCCATGTATATCTTATCATTACTATTACTTTCAAGAAAGTAACTGAATTAGAAGTACTACTTGCCAACATCCCTGTCACCAGGCACTGTCGTCATCGTTATAACTATTACTTAAAAAGCACAATCACGTGATAAACAAATATTTACATATCAGTGAACTCCAAAATGTATCGTGAACAATGACTTATTCCTGTTTCTTTTTATTTTTCGAAATTTGAAAAATTTTCTTACCAAGCTCATCTCATCTCATCTCATCTCATCTCATCTCATCTCATCTCACTTAAGTAGGTTACTTAAATAAGAAGGATGAGTTTTAATTTATGGTTTGTTATTAGACTATTTTATCTTGTCAAGAAGATCTCTAGGTTCGTTACTGGATTTTTATTGTATTTATACAGTAGTTTTAGAAAACCTCTTTTTATTATAAAGTTTGCTTTTAGGTTGAGAAATCAAATAAAGAGAAACATATAAAATAAAAGTTGATCCATTAGTCTTTCAAAGTTAATTTTAGTAACGATGCAATTATCCTGGAAAGATATTCCTACCGTTGCGCCTTCTAATGATATGTTGGATATTGTGTTGAATAGAACACAAAGAAAAACTCCAACTGTCATTAGACCAGGTTTCAATATTACAAGAATTAGAGCCTTTTATATGCGTAAAGTTAAATTTACTGCTGAAGGTTTCATTGAAAAATTTGATGATATAGTCAAAGGTTTTCCAAATGTTAACGACCTACATCCTTTCCATAGAGATTTGATGGATACTTTATATGAAAAGAACCATTATAAAATTTCCTTGGCTGCTATTTCCCGTGCAAAGACTTTAATAGAACAAGTATCGAGAGATTATAACAGATTGTTGAAGTTTGGTCAATCTCTTTTCCAATGTAAACAATTGAAAAGAGCTGCTTTAGGTAGAATGGCTACTATCGTTAAAAAGTTAAAGGATCCTTTATCTTATTTAGAACAAGTTCGTCAACATTTAGGTAGATTGCCATCTATCGATCCAAACACAAGAACTTTGTTGATCTGTGGTTATCCAAATGTGGGTAAGTCTTCTTTCTTAAGATGTATCACTAAGGCTGACGTAGAAGTACAACCTTATGCATTCACAACTAAATCTTTATACGTTGGTCATTTTGATTACAAATATTTGAGATTTCAAGCTATTGATACCCCAGGTATTTTAGATAGACCAACAGAAGAAATGAACAACATTGAAATGCAATCTATTTATGCAATTGCTCACTTGCGTTCATGTGTCTTATATTTCATGGATCTTTCCGAACAGTGTGGTTTCACTGTCGAAGCCCAAGTTAAATTATTCCATTCTATCAAACCATTGTTTGCCAACAAATCTGTTTTGGTAGTTATTAACAAATGTGATATTATCAGACCAGAAGATTTGGATGAAGAACGTCAATCTTTATTAAACTCTGTTAAGGAATTACCAGGTGTCGAAATCATGACTACTTCCTGTCAATTGGAAGAAAATGTTATGGATGTTAGAAACAAAGCTTGTGAAAAATTACTCGCTTCAAGAATTGAAAACAAATTGAAATCCCAAAACAGAATCAACAATGTTTTGAACAAGATCCATGTCTCCAAACCAGGCGCTAGAGATGACATCGAAAGAAAGCCATATATTCCAGAAAGTTTCAAGAATATGAAGAAATACGATGAAAACGATCCAGAAAGAAGACAATTGGCCAGAGATATCGAATCAGAGAACGGTGGTGCTGGTGTATTCAACATTAACTTGAAAGACAAGTATCTATTGGAAGATGATGAATGGAAGAACGATGTTATGCCTGAAATTTTGGATGGTAAGAATGTTTACGATTTCCTTGACCCAGAAATTGCTGCAAAGTTGCAAGCATTAGAAGAAGAAGAAGAAAGATTGGAAGCTGAAGGTTTCTATAATTCTGATGACGATGAAGAAGTTTATGAAGGTTTCGATGGTGACGAAGTTTCTGATATCAAGGACAAAGCTAAATGGATTAGAGACAAACAAAAGATGATGATTGCTGAAGCAAGAAACAGAAAATCATTAAAGAATAAGGCTATAATGCCTCGTTCTAAGATGGCCAAATCATTTGGTGATATGGAAAAACATATGGCTAAATTAGGTCACGATATGAGTATCTTGGAAGATAAACAAAGAGTTGCCATGGAAAGCAACAGAAGAGAAAGAGGTGGTATGGACATTGTATTTGGTGATAATGAAAGTTTATCCAACGCTTCTGCTAATGGTGGTAAGCTAAGACAAACTGATAGATTGGTTGATGGTGTTGCTGACGGTGAAATGAGAAGTAAAGCTGACAGAATGGCCAAATTACAAAGAAGAGAAAGAAATAGAATGGCCAGAGCTGGTGAAGCTGATAGACATGCCACCGCTTCATTACCTAAGCATTTATTCAGTGGTAAGCGTGGTAACGGTAAGACTGATTTCCGTTAAGCAATTAAATCTTCCACTCATCATATATTAAGAAAGAAGGAATTCAAAAACATTTTCATATAAATTGGATTTATTTTTGAGAGATAAAAAAAATCCATGGTATCCTTTTGGGCAAATTGTATTTACACAATTCTTCATACATAGTTTTTCCATATAATTTTAAATTTTGTATATTAATCTATAATCTAAGAAATATAAGAAAATAAAATCTAACAAGTATGACAGAAATTAAGGCGTAAACAAATCAAGGTGATTTTTCCTAGGTCTAGTGAATATTTCCAAGTCAGAAAATTCACTTAGTTTTATGGTTCATAGTACTATATAAACAAAGTTAAATTTTACATTGTTCGAATTCGAACTCCTTAAAGCAAACCAAAAATTCAATCGAGAATAAAAATTCTCAATATATTCCAATTAGCTTGATTTTCCTACGTATAGTACTTATATATAAACCGAATCAATCCATCATGTCACTAGCAAGAAATGAAAGATACACATAAATATTTTTCCATTACTGTCGCATTGACAAAAAAAAAGAACCCTGGGAATTTACTTAGGCAATTACACTTTGAATAATACCTTTAATACATCATTCCATTTCCTATCATAAAAGCTATATTTTCACTATATTAATTCAAATATCATCAAGCAAGAGTGAGATTGTGGCATATCAACTCTTTTTCTTAACAAGGGAGGAAAGTTAGTAACACTGGGGACACACAAGTCAAGGGACTAAAAAATTATTTATGCCAAACAAGCCAAAAAGACAAACAATCTGTAACATTGAAGTCGCGATCAACCAAATTCATGCAACATATAGTAGTTATATACTGAATTGATTAAATTTCCTCTCTTTCTTTTCACCATCATTTCAGATTATAGCCATAATTAACAGGAATCATATTAAATTAAACTAATAGAGGAAGTAAGTTTCGTTATTCAATTCACTTGTATAGGGCTAGACTAAGTTACCAGAAACAATATATTAGATAATTCTTCATCTACATAAGCAAACCTAACATTAGCACCACCGTTCGCTGTTGTCTTGACTGCAAACCATTATATCAATCGGTTCGACAACCACACTTTACTTTTTATTCCTTGGAAATCAAGTTTACGTTTCTCTTTCCTGCGGCCGATTCTTGTTTCTTTTGAAGTCGCTCAGTGCTCGAGGCACAACGGTTTCTCGAAATCTAAGTAACACTACATCATCGAATCATTTCATCATCAGAGAAGAAGAGACAAAAGAGTATCAATCAGCTTTGCCCTTGCCTTTTCATTAGAGAACTCTAAGCTATACACTTTCAATTACTAAGTCTTACTTTCGAGCTGTGGCTTGAAGATTTCATCGAAACAACGTTCTTAAAACCTACTCTAGTGGTAACCGTTAGAGGGGGTGTCCAAAACTGTAGTAGAATGTATCAATATACTGATTGTAGACATTGAATGGGAAAGAAGTGAGTAAAAGGATAAGGGTTTTCTTGAATAATAATATACGTACACTTATTTTTTTTCATTCTGTGCTCGACGAAACTTTACGACATGGCTGGAAATATTAAGTAACGTCTACGTAGCTGCAGAGTTGACAAACCTCAGTTGGGCTGGATTCATCTTGGTGCCTCTTGTGATCTTTTTACCTTGTCCAATACTCATCATAAATAGTGAGCAGTAGTACATTTTTACTGCTACTCTATATGTTTAACTATTGCAATATTTTTTTTTCCTTCCTATAAAAGTGAGTTCTACGTGCTATACTGAAATTGCTCATAGTAAAATCTATAATCTTTATAATTGATATCTGCGGTATCATATTTCCCCCCCTACCCTTGTAGTTTGTTATTAATCAATTTCCTTTCATTTTAAAGTTTTTGATATTATTGTTACAAATACTGATAATATATAATTTATCCAATTTGAATTGGTATATATATAGTCAACTTCTTGTTTGATTAAAACTTTATATTCTAGATTAAAGTATTTAATAATATTCTTACTCTTGATGTTTAAATTACCTGCAAAATTGGTAAATAGAGTCTCAACTATACCGAGTTTATCTTCTTCAATTTTAAAATATAATATTAGAACAATGTCTTCAATGAAAGAATATGATTATGTCGTTATTGGTGGTGGTTCTGGTGGTACTGCATCTGCCAGAAGAGCTGCCTCTTACGGTGCTAAGGTCTTATTGATCGAAGGTAGAGGTAAATTAGGTGGTACTTGTGTTAATGTAGGTTGTGTTCCAAAGAAGATCATGTGGTATACTTCCGACTTGGCTGGTAAAATACAACATGGCCATGGCTACAATTTGTATGAAGAATTGCCAATTGATAAAGAACACTTAACCTTTAACTGGCCAGCTTTCAAGGAAAAGAGAGATGCTTACGTTCATCGTTTAAATGGTATCTATGAAGCTAACTGTGCCAGAGAAAATGTTGACGTAGCTTACGGTTGGGCTTCTTTTAACAAAGATGGTTCAGTCTTAATCAAGAAACTGGATGGTACTGAAGAATCTGTCAAGGGTAAACACACTTTAATTGCTACTGGTGGTATCCCACTATTACCAAAGAACATTCCTGGTTATGAACATGGTGTTTCTTCTGATGGTTTCTTTGAATTAGAACAACAACCAAAGAAGGTCGTAGTTGTTGGTGCAGGATACATTGGTGTTGAATTGTCAGGTGTTTTCCATGGTTTGGGCTCTGAAGTTCACTTATGTATTAGAGGTGATACAGTCTTGAGAAAGTTCGATTCTTGTATTCAAGACACTATTACTGAACACTACATCAAGTCAGGTATTAACGTTCATAAGCAAAGCCAAGTTGCTAAAGTTGAAAAAAACGCTACTGGTAGTTTGACTGTCACTTTAAACAATGGTACTGTCTTAAGCGATGTTGATACCTTGGTATGGACTGTTGGTAGAAGAACTTTAGTTGATTTGAACTTGGATAACGTTGGTGTCAAAATCAACAACAAGGACCAAATTATTGTCGATGAATATCAAAATACCGATGCTCAAAACATTTACTCTTTGGGTGATGTTGTAGGCAAGGTCGATTTGACTCCAGTCGCCATTGCTGCCGGTAGAAAATTGGCTAACAGAATCTTTGGTCCAGAACAATTCAAGAATGATAAATTATCTTATGAAAATGTCCCAAGTGTCGTATTCTCTCACCCTACCAGTGGTTCCTGTGGTATCACTGAAAAGGAAGCCATTGAAAAGTATGGTAAGGAAAATATCAAGATCTATCAAACTGGCTTCGGTGCTATGTATTACGGTGTCTTAGATGAATCCTTCAAGCAACCAACCAAATACAAGCTTGTCTGCGCTGGTCCAGAAGAAAAGGTTGTTGGTTTGCATATTGTTGGTGACTCTTCAGATGAAATCTTGCAAGGTTTTGGTGTTGCCATGAAGATGGGTGCTACCAAGGCTGATTTTGACAACTGTGTTGCCATCCATCCAACTTCAGCTGAAGAATTGGTTACTTTAAGATAATCAAAAGATAACAAGGTAGTCTTCCTAATGATAAACGTGTAAAAATCTTAGTTAGTTATATATTTTGTCATAGTTTAAACCACTAGTTACTGTTCAATCCTGTTCAGATATAATCGGACTGTAATATTATATCTCATAGCACAGTAGTAACCAACAATGCTTCAATTGTGAATAATTAGGTAGAGAAAACCATGTCGCAACTGATACCAAATTTTTATATTGTTGCAATATTGAATGAACTTTTTAGGTAATTATATATCATCGAAGGGACAACCTTTTTTATAATGAAATTAATAAATTTTAAGACTAGTTAAAAGATACAAAATATAAATGGAGTATACAATTGTGTTAAATCAAAGATTTAACTAAATTCAAGCCTTCAAAGAAGAAGCTCTTCTCTTTCTAGTTTCAGCCTTTTCAGCCTTTCTTTCAGACAATCTCTTAGCCAACAATTGAGCGTATTCAGCAGCAGCTTCTCTTTGAGCTTGGGCGTTCTTAACCTTCAAAGCCTTTTGGTATCTCTTTCTTTGCAATCTTTGTGGAGTAACCAATCTTTGGATCTTTGGAGCCTTGGTGTAGGTCTTTTCACCCTTGGTAACTTCTCTTCTGATAACGAAGTCACGGACATCATCTTCCTTGGTCAAACCGAAGAATTTTCTGATGTTGTTAGCTCTCTTTGGACCCAATCTCTTTGGGACGGTAGAGTCAGTGACACCTTCCAATTCTTGTTCACCCTTCTTGGTGATGACCAAAGACAAGACAGCCAAATCTGGACCAACGATGGCACCTCTGACGGACTTTCTCTTTCTTTCACCAGTACGTCTTGGTCTGTAACAAGAGTAACCCTTAGCCAACAACAACTTGACTCTGGTTGGCAACAAGACACCTTGTTTCATTGGGAAACCTTGCTTGTCGTTACCACCGGAGATCTTGAAGGTGTAGCCCTTGAATTCATCACCAACGGCTTCACCGTCAACTTCTTGACCAATTCTCTTGTCGTAGAAGACACGGATACGGTGTTCATCATCGATTTCGACGGTCTTTTGAGTACCGTTAACTGGGTAAGCAATGTTCAACTGTTAAAAATATCAAAATATAATTATAATTGTTAGTAAAATCGAACCTTTAAGAAATTCTATGAATTCTTGACCAATATAAAAATGTGAGAAAAAAAATGAAACAGTCAATGAATTTATTCAAATTCAACATCAACGGTTCTTTATTTAATATAACCTGTACCACGTATATTTATTCTATAGTTTAAAAACCGTGCACATATATATATAAAATCTTTCACAAATCATATGGAGCACTCATCAGTATGCTATACTGAGAAATCCTACCATGTATAAATTTAAAAATGGGAAATTGATCAATGAACAATTATGGAATTGAACTGTTGATTTAAAAACAACATAATGTATTTCTTGAACGATAGAGTCTTTAAAATCTTTCTATTGCACTAAATATTTGGAATTGAATACCTATTCATCTTTTTGATTATCACAATTTTATTAGATCATTAACTTCTGATTTTGTATAGTAACATACCTTCATGATGGCTCACTTGTCTTTAGTATATGGGTTCTTGAAGCAAACAAATATCACTAATTGAAATACGACTTCAATATATAGTATCTGAACTCAGCGTTTGAGCTATAGTATTTTTCAATCACAATATTCTGTTATTCAATCAATAGCCAATTTGTGAATATCTCTGCACTTAGAGAATTAATGATGTGATGATAGTAATGCTCACTACTGAGCCAAAAGCCAGCTGACAAAATTTCGAATCCCATCGAAAGTTTCAATTTTGACAAATTTCCAATGAGTGCCTTGCCTCACAATCAGTAAAGATAGGTCGAACAAAAACGAGAGTTCAGAATTAGTGTGAAAAGTTTCAGGATAGCTCGCTGGAAAATGTAAGTTCTAGAAAGACGAAATCACTCTAGCGAGAGCTATCTGCCTAGAGTTGAATGACAGTTTCTCTTTCCAGACAGAAAAGATCAACAGTTCCCAGAGGCAAAGTTCAAACCATTCAGTCAAAGTTTAGAAAGCGGTTTGTGATCATGGATGATACCTAAACTTATTGCTTTGTGTGCGCTCTTTCCTTACTACATTGGTAAAACTTTTTTTTTCCTTTTCTGCTTCCTTATCTTGTGATAGAAAAATTAATATGAACGCAAGATGCCTTATTTTTTTTAGAAATGCTAATGGGCGAATTGCAAAAAATCGTGAAAAGTGAAAAAGGAAATTGATTTGGATAAAGTGTAAAATGTACGGATGGTGAATGATTAAAAATGCAAGGGTGTTACAATCAACAGTCACTTCAAAAATCGTTGTAGATTTTATTCCATTATTCTTCAACAAGTCACGAGACATAAATTATAGTTTTAAATAGAGGACAGACCCATTGTCATAACAAGAAGTGTCTACAGGATTATCATGGTACATATATATCTGTCGTTTTAGGAAGTCAGATGATTATGTTAAATTATTCATGTTAGAATATTAATGCTATATATATATATATATATATATTAAAACTTATGTAATGATTGATAATCATTCCTTTCTTGTCGTATCCCCTTCGTTTCTATTATATGGCGGTTTGTTTAATTTATTATTATCTTCATTGGCCTCATTTGAAAAATTAAAGAATCTTCCTGTTGCAGAAGGAGGCTGATTTGAAGTGATAAATGGTGTTAATCCAGTATTCCCACTCATAGAATGGATACCGTTATCCCTTTTATTATTACCAGTGGCACTGCTTGGTGATGATTCTTGTTTTATCGACCAATCTTGAAACATTGACATTGAGGTACTAGGCGATGGGAATATTAGATCATGCACAAATTTTGAAGGTAAATTGCCTGTTGGTGGCCCTGTTGGTGGTCCATTAAATGCTGTATTTTGTTGCTGATGCTGCTGCTGCTGAAGCTGATGTAGTGGTGGCGGCGGCTGTGCTTGCTGATCTTGTGATGCTATATTTTGTGTCTTATTTGAAGCTGATACAGCATTATTTTGAGCTTGTTGTGACTGCCCATACTGCGCTGAATAATGATTTTGTTGTGCCTGCTGAGACATTTGTAATTGCCGTTGAAAAAAATAATTATAGGAATTTCCATTTAGACCTCCAGTCTGTGTCGCACTTTCTGGAATATTATCATCTTTCAACTTGTTAGCATTATTTGTGAATGATTGTAATGGAGTAGCAATATATTGTTGTTGAGCTGAAAAGGCAGAAAATACTGGTGGTAAACCATATCCACTAGATGATGGTGATTTTAAGTTTGATCTCAATCGATCTTTTTGTTCCATAGATAATGCAACATCAGAGATTGTACCAGAATTTGGAATTGAGGTATTATCATCTGTTTTAGTTTCGTCTGTATTTTCCTTTTCGTTATTATGGTATTGTGAGATTTTGCCTTGATGTCGCTGGTTATCATACTGTATACTATTCATACTTCCTGCAGAAGAATTTGAAGACAAAGGTGGTCCATTAGTAGTATCCACCGACTCATTTAAACGAGCTTTATTCGGATTAGAATTATTATTAGCGTTCCCATTCGGTATTTGCACTCTTAGTACTGGTCGCATAGAAACTTTGGATGATGCCAGTCCACTATTTTTAAGATTTAAACCAGGACTAGAGGAATCATTTTTTGTTAAATTAGTGTCCGTTAAGTTGGAGTTAGTTTGTGATCTAGATGAAGTGTAGGCCACATTGACAAACCTATCATTAAAACTGTTCGAGACAGAACCTTCAGAGCTTCTTGAAGGGACAGCTTGATACAAGCTTTTAAAATGATCTGCAACTTTAACCTTTTTATACTCATTTTCCGTCATGGAATCTTCATAATTTGAAGAGCTTCTTTTTGAGGGGTTTTGATTAGTGTAAGAGCTGGAGTCTGTAGTATATGAAATATTGGATAATGATTTTTTATGGTTCATTCTTCTATGTTTATAGTTGTTATCGGAATCCTCATAGTCATCATCATAGTCATCGTCGTCATCATCGTCGTCATCATCGTCATCATCATTGTTATTATCATTGTTATTGTCATCGTTTATATTTTCACCATCCTCGTCATTATTATCATCGTCCTCATCTTCATTTCTTATTATATCAGTATGACTTATTCTATTAGTATTTTTCGAATTAGTTTTATCATGGTTATCAACTTTCTGATCTTGTCCATCTTTTGATGTCGCCTCTACTTTTACCTTTCTAGTGTATGGTTTTCTTGGTTTTTTATTAAATATGGTTGACTTATTATTTCTAATTGCATCGTAAACATGAGTCTTCTTATATTTCCCGCCATAATCAGTAGGAGTCTTTATATTATGATTCAATATATTTTCATTATCTTCATAAAATTTTAAAAAATCTACAATATTTTCCATTGATTTAAATTCATAAATTGTTTTATTCGTACCCAATATGATCAACGATACGTCTACCTGACATAGCACCGATAATTCATAAGCTTTTTTCAACAAACCAGCTTTACGTTTAATAAACGTCACAGATCTATTCCTATCTTCTGAAATAGGCTCTATATCAATCTTACGCCTACCCATAATTAAATAATTTTATATTTGTAATTTGTAAATTCCCCTAGTATGAACAAAACCAATCTGTGGATAATTTCTTGATACAAGACTTTTTATAAAATCAAGTAATAATAACGAACCAAAAACTAACTGTGGTGAGGTTTGGGAAAGGACTGGGGAAAGAAGATGGGGGGGGGGGGGTGGGTGGGGTGGTGATCAAATAGACAAACAAAATAGATAAAGAAAAATGTGAAATATATTAGCTATCGCAAAATAAATATATATTTCTACAATAAGGTACCTCTTTTTATTCAGAAATTAAAAGATCAAATATAATAAATCTTGAGATGAGCTTCCCTTCTAAATCAAAATCAAAAGTACCAGAACCAACTGAATATTTTTTTTGAAAAAAATTGATTCTAAAAATAAACCAGAGCTATTTAAAAGTGCCTCTCTGAAGTTATCTTTTATATAATCCCACAAATGTATATTACAACTAGATATTACCAAACATAAAGAATAGAATATATACTATATATTATTATTGTATTACGAACGAAGTATAAATATGAACCTGACCAAGAATGAATAATGGTATAATACAAGTGTTTGACCTCAACAGATATGCATCTCTGTCTTAATTCCCAATCATCTTACTATCGAGCTGTTGTGTAAAAGTACGTATATATTATTAAATCATTCTTGTTCTCATTTAAATGAGTGGGCAGCTTTAACTTCAGAAGGCTACGTATTCGATGACGACGACAGCAATTTTCTGAATTTTTCAAATTTGCCAAAAGAACCGCTGTGCTTTTTCCGAATGAGAAATTATCCCTTTTGGGAGAAAGCTGTCTGGAGCGGGGCGGAGGGCGGAGGAGGAGGAGGGGGGGAGTTTGAGATATTCGGATTATTTCTTTTTTTCCTGAGAGAGAGAGTTCGGGTCTGAAGTGGGCGCGCGTGCGTATATACAAAATATTGGTACTAAAAATAGAAATAGAAATAGAAATATAGGAATCATCACCATAGCTGAGCAGGCGATGGTGTTTCTAGTAACAGTAACATACACTTCTTGGAAAATGTTTCCTAAATACGTCATTCACCGCCAATTAGCATCATAGTTGTCATTGTAATTGTCATTGTCATTGTCATTGCTACCGTTGTTTGTGGTATTACAAGGGGACCTGCTGGGTTAGTTGAAACAGGTGAGATAGAAATGGGCAGGTACATCTTCAATTGGGGATTAGATTAGGGGGGATATGTCAGGTGAGAGGCGACATACTGGACGGGAAAATTTATATGTATGTTCATACCTGATGTCTGATTACACTTAGACGATGTCAGATCCATTGTTTTTACTGGTCCTCTTTTTTGTGGTGACAAGAAAGACTGCCGCGGAACCGTTGCTTAGCTCATACCAATGTGAAAATTGCATTTTTTGGTAAATTGCCATTACAATCAGGATTCTTCAATAAAGTTTCTTGCATATCTGGTGTTATATCTTACATATTTTTTTTTTGTAGAAACATACAAAAGGAATGGAATGGAATGCAATTGTGAAGGTAAAGGTAAGTGTAATTAAAAGTGTGCAATGTTCAATCGAATCAACATTCGTAAGCTCCTTCTCCTGCTTATTTCCGCCATATCAACCAATCATATGAACGACACTTTAAATCAATGATCAGTCCATGGATTTAATTTTTTCAGCTGCATCCTACGCATGCAAAATATTGTCACATGTTACTGAATTGGTAAAATAAGGGAAATAATATCTTTGACATAGATATGCGCATTATAAAAAATAAAGGAACAAGATTAAAAATGCCAAACATATGATAATTGATCTATCTAAGTAATTGTCGGTTTTAGAGATATTAGAGTAGTGAAAATGTGCTCATTTTACATTATATCGGTTACAGATCTCTTAATAAAGAAAAAGTTTATAATATAGTAATTCCGTAATCAATTGGATCATTCCAGCCATAGTATATCCTGGATTCTAACATAACAAATAAAACATAACATACATGGCTAAAGCTAAACCGTGTACCCATAGTAACAAGAAACTATATATTGAAATTAAAAAAAAAGTTACTTTCTTAATGAACGATATAGATCCTATTCCCCTCCAACCTCTTCGGAATAACAAAAACAACAGACAACAAGCCAGAGTAAAAGCAGAAGAGAGGTATATTTATGCGTATATCAAATTCTCACATAATGTAATATAGTGCCTGGGCCCTAATCCGCCTACACTGAAGCTACATATGGATCGATTGATATCTTATCATGGAAGTTAAAATCTAACTATTAGGACTAAGAGTGATATACGCTATAAAAGAGAAAAATAGACCTTTCGTAGTAATTACAAATCTCACCAAAAGCAAAACATTCAATATCTGAACAATAGGAAATGCTTGTTACCCGATGTTACCGTTTGACCAATACGTAATTGTGTAAAATTGTGTAAACTCATTAAGGTTAGTTGAACATTACCAGTATCACATTAACATATGTGTAATTTCATTACGTTACGTACGTACCCTTGAGCTCTTCTCCTATGCTATATTTTACATTATTCCATTTACTAAAATTTTCACTGTTGAAAAGAAAAAAAATATACAATTAGAACAGCCTGTAAGAGAAGCATGAAACTCTGTATCAGAGGGAAACCCTTTGTCTCTGTCTCAACGTTTAATTCGAAATCGTTATTTCCATCAGTTTACTTTCACTGGTTCAGTTCTTTCGTAATTTGAACAATTGAGCCAGCCCAGAGAGACTCATTTACAATTAATCGATTTTGAAATATGTAGGTTGTTTTGTTCCAATCTATTCATTCTAGTCAGAATCCACTAGCCAAAGACCTGCTTGACTTGTCTTATTGAACAGTTGGTTCATATCCTTGTAAGTAGTGATGAGTATGACAAGGTATTTTTTTTTTTAGAAAAAAGAAAGCATCTCTTGTCCGGGATTAAAGCCCTTATAGCCCGGACAGGGCTGAATAGAGTTATATATGTTATATATCTTTTCTACTACTAACCCAATCCTAATTCTCAATCCAATTCTATATCAATGTGAAAACTAACTAAATCCCTTCTGGCTATTACACAGAGAGATGGAATACACCTTTCTGGATGGAAGTTAGCGATTCTATTCACATACAAAAAATACACAGGCCAATGTAATATTTCCATGTTCTGTTGTTTGTCAAACCTTTCTCTAGGCTGATTTGGTACTCTTCCGTAAAGGGCTTCTCCTGCTCTCTCATGTCGTTTCAGGTTAATTTTTCAAATTTCATAGACACTACCTCTCTCTCTCTCCCTCCCGTTGCACTAGTTGGACCAGAAAAACTCAGAAACACGTACACACAAGCTTGGTACTAATGCACTAATAAGGCGTCGTATTGAAAGAAACTTGCAGAGCACAGTACAGTAGACAGTAAAAACACCAAATCATGATATTGTTCATTTCATCACAACAAAAAGGCTCACCACTGGCTTGTCTTCTCACGAGTCTAAAAGAAAAATAAAATAAAATAAAACCAAACTAGACAACAGCCATAATGGAATCAACGTAACTCAATCCAACCCAGCTCTCTCTTCTTTGTTTCTTGTTGGAAATACAGAGTTACAACTCTATTCCGACGATGAAGAAAAGTGTTTCCCAACCGTTTATCTTCATGCATCCGAAATGCACTACAGACTGAGGAAGAGAGAGATATAATTTTTTAACAGTTCGAATAGAGGTTCGAGATGGGTATTTCCTAGACATTTCCCATAAGATTACTACTTCATTGGCTCTTTCACATTATGTTGTCATTCGATTCTCCCATACCAAGAGCATTAATTAGATTTTTTTTCATTATATTTTTGTTAACAAGTGGAAGAAGGACGGCATTGTTGTCGCTATATCATCAGTAATCCTTTATCCATTATATTTTTCGAACTACGGTTGTCTCGTCTGGTCTTGTCTCTTTTTTTTTCTTCCTCCCATTTCTTTTCTACTGATTTGATGTAATTTAATTTGTTACCACTGTTGTTGGATATTGCATAGTAAAAGCTGCACCACTCTTCTCATAATTTGATTTATTATCACCACCATATAATAAATAATCTATATTCTTTCGTAATGCATATGTAGATGTTTCTGTCATAGAAAGAAAGAGATATATTGAAGGTTTTGGTTTTCTTGTACTAAACCCATCTACTTAAATTTTGTTTGATCCCGAATTATTTCGTATGTCTTTTACCTCAGGCAGTATCTCTTGGAATTCAATGATTCTATTGTATAATTCTTCTTGATGTTTTTTCTTATTCATGCACTTGATCCCAATTTAAACCTTTCCTTCTCACACGTTAATTAATTACAATTATAAATTACACGAATTTAGGTAATACAATTTATTATCGAGTGTAAAAACCGAAATTTGACAGGATACGTTCGACCTTCAGTTTGTTGTCGTGATTGTAAGAATTGCTGCTGCTTGTGAATTGAAACTTTTTTTTCCTTTTGGTTTTTATTTCAGTATATTTTTTTTTCTCTTACTTTTTTAATAAATTTCCCAATTCATTCTATAATTTCATCTTATATTTAAAGTAGTTTCTTTTATCTCCTTTTCTTTTCGATGTCGACCTTAAATTCATATCTGTCGTCGTAAAAGGTTCTTCTCTATATTATACACAAGTTAAACTAAACAAGAATTATTAGTTGCGTGAGCTGTATATATTACTTAATTCCGTCAATTGAAAAAATTAAAATAATTATTTATTTATTTATTTAATAACTAACAGTTGATCAAGATTGTATTTATTCATCTAATTTATTTCCAAATATAAACTTAGATTCAATACTTTCTTTAAATTTCACTACTAATTTATTTTTACATTTTTCACATTCTCATCTCATTTCTTCTAATAGATCAAACAATTAATTTTGGTATAAATACCTAGATAGGACCTATCATTTGAAGACATTAAATATAATTTATTTTTGACTTAATAATTTCTTTATTCTCCCAGAAGTCAAACATTAAAAATCCATTAATATTCAATTATAGAAATAATATAGTAATACAAAATGACTACAAAAGAACATACTGTAGTCCACGAGGCTCATAACGTCAATGCTCGTCAAGCTCCAGAACATTTCTATAAATCTCAACCTGGTAAAGGTTACATTACCAGTATGGATCAATATTACAAAATGTATAACGAATCCATTAATAACCCAGATGCTTTTTTCTCTAAAATGGCTAAAGAATACCTACATTGGGACAGACCTTTCACCAAGGTTCAAACTGGTTCAATTGAAAAAGGTGATTCTGCTTGGTTCTTAAATGGTGAATTGAATGCTGCTTATAACTGTGTTGATAGACATGCTTTCGAAAACCCTGATAAAACCGCCATTATCTATGAAGCTGATGACGAAAAGGAAAACAGAATCATTACCTTTGGTGAATTGTTAAAACAAGTCTCTGAAGTTGCTGGTGTATTACAAAGTTGGGGTGTCAAGAAAGGTGATACAGTCGCTGTCTACTTGCCAATGATCCCAGAAGCTGTCGTCGCTATGTTAGCTGTCGCCAGATTGGGTGCTATACATACTGTCGTTTTTGCTGGTTTCTCTGCCGGTTCACTAAAGGATCGTGTAGTTGACGCTGGTTGTAAAGTTGTCATCACTTGTGATGAAGGTAAGAGAGGTGGTAAAACTGTCAACACTAAGAAAATCGTCGATGAAGGTTTGAACGGTGTCGATTCAGTTTCTCGTATTTTGGTTTTCCAAAGAACTGGTACTGAAGGTATCCCAATGAGAGCTGGCAGAGATTTCTGGTGGCATGAAGAAACCAAGAAACAAAGAGGTTACTTACCACCTGTTTCTTGTAACTCTGAAGATCCATTGTTCTTGTTATACACTTCTGGTTCTACTGGTGCTCCAAAGGGTATTGTTCACACCACTGGTGGTTACTTGTTAGGTGCCGCTTTAACAACTAGATATGTTTTCGATATTCATCCTGAAGATGTTCTATTTACTGCTGGTGACGTCGGTTGGATTACCGGTCACACTTACGCTTTATACGGTCCATTAGCTTTAGGTACCGCTACAATTATTTTTGAATCAACTCCAGCTTATCCAGACTACGGTAGATACTGGAGAATTATCGAACGTCACAGAGCCACTCACTTCTACGTTGCTCCAACGGCTTTAAGATTAATCAAACGTGTTGGTGAAGCCGAAATTCCAAAATATGACACTTCTTCCTTACGCGTGTTAGGTTCTGTCGGTGAACCAATCGCTCCAGATTTATGGGAATGGTACCACGACAAGATTGGTAACAAGAACTGTGTTATTTGTGACACTATGTGGCAAACTGAATCTGGTTCTCATTTAATTGCCCCATTAGCCGGTGCTGTTCCAACCAAACCAGGTTCAGCTACTGTCCCATTCTTCGGTGTCAATGCCTGTATTATCGACCCAGTCAGCGGTGTTGAATTAGAAGGCAATGATGTTGAAGGTGTTTTGGCTGTTAAGTCTGCTTGGCCATCAATGGCTAGATCCGTATGGGACAACCATGACAGATACATTGATACCTACTTGAAGCCATACCCAGGTTACTATTTCACAGGTGACGGTGCTGGTAGAGATCACGATGGTTACTACTGGATCAGAGGTAGAGTTGATGATGTTGTTAATGTTTCTGGTCACAGATTGTCTACAGCCGAAATCGAAACTTCTCTAGTTGCTAATGATAATGTTTCTGAATCTGCCGTCGTTGGTATTCATGATGATTTAACTGGTCAAGCAGTTGTCGCATTCGTTTCTTTGAAGAACTCTGATTATATACAAGAAAATGCCACTGAAGGTGATGCTAACCATGTCACCCCAGATGCCTTACGTCGTGAATTAGTCTTACATGTAAGATCTGAAATTGGTCCATTTGCCGCTCCAAAGACTGTTATCTTAGTCAGAGATTTACCAAAGACCAGATCTGGTAAGATCATGAGAAGAATCTTAAGAAAGGTTGCCTCTAACGAAGCTGATCAATTAGGTGATTTAAGTACTATTGCTAATGCAGAAATTGTACCATCTATTATCTCTGCTGTCGAAACCCAATTTTTCAACGCTAAGAAGAAATAATTAAGACATCGACTATTGATAAAACAAAGAACAACAATCGTTGATCTATCAATTTAATTCCGTCCTATAATTTTAAAATTCATGTTTCATTTACAAAATCATTATTAACAGGCATAGAGAGGAATGGCTATTCTGCATTCCTTCAACAAAACCCCCCTCAAAAAATTACAAAATACAGTTAAAAGAAAAAAAAATATTAACGTATATATTTAATAATACTAGTAATATATCAATTCTTCTACATACATACATACATCCTTTTCACCCTATTTACTTTGTATAGTTGTACAATTTTATGTTTTTATAGATACTTTTCTGGTAGTTAAGAACAACAAGCTTTCTAAAAAATAAAAAAAAACAAGATCAGACTAAAAATATTACAATCAGTCCCATCACTAATGCGACAGAATAATTTCAGTCAAATGTTGCAGCAAATATGCATATACCATGCATAAAACTCAAAAGGAATTGTTGTCACCAGGGGAACTTGACTAATAATAATACACGGATATCTGATAATGCAAGTTTACTTAACTAAGAAAAACACACACACATATTTATGTACTATTAGCTAAAATAAAAATACCTCTTCATGAATGAATGAATGAATGGATAGACTGTCACAATCAATATAAAGGAAAGTTCGATATCTAAGTTTCTTATACTAAAACAATTTCTTACAAAAAGAATGGCTTTAAAAGGCTTTAAAAACCAAGATATCACCGAAATCGGTAACCGATGCCCCGTATATTAAATGGATATGTCTATTTAAAATTCAAATTCAAATTCAAGTTCAAATTCAAATACAAATACAAATATGGCCCTCCATACCTCCATACCTCCATAACCCCTCCCCTCCCATTTATTTTTACATTTTCTAAATTCTTACCTCCCTGATCATATTAAGTTCAAAGTATTATTCTGTCTGAAATTATCCATGAATCTGTTCTTTTTAACTGATATTTTGGGTAACAGGGCATCGCATCATCGCATTGACGAATATTTCGAATCGAATTAAAAATTGAAATATGTGCAGAGTTCGAAATATATCTCTAATTCATGATAACGACGAATCAAGATACCCTTCTATTTAAACTATAGAAATATAAAAGGAATGATTTAGGGAAGAGATGAGTCAGTAGCTGCATTATCATTAAGAATCAGTTCTTTTTTTATTTAACTTATAATACTTCAATCAAAAAGGATATATCACTTGTTAATAAAACGGTTGGTAGATTATATTAATGTTATACTATATTATATATATTTTATAATACCATTTAACATTCTCTCTCATATATAATTTATTCTGTATATATCATTGATTATTGTTTGAAGAATCAAACAAGGTTCAGTGAATTAAAATCTGGGGTAAGGAAAGGAATTATCACTGATTATCACTGATTATTGAGAGGTTTTGGAAAGTATTGCTTCCAAGGGTTATATTCTTATTTTCATTTTGCATTCTTTTTAGACTTATAGAACAGTGTTGGGTATTAAAATAAAACAGTCATTATTGATTTATACAGGTGTATGATTTCGAAGGTGTGCAATGTCGGTGGATTTAGGTGCTGCAATTTATATTGCAATTAAACCTATTTTAAAAATTTATTGCATTATTTTTGTAGGTTATTTACTTGCAAGATTTAAAATCGTAACGACAGAAATCGCTAGAGGTATTTCAAATATGGTTGTCAATGCTATATTACCATGTTTAACTTTTAATAAAATAGTCAGTAATATCTCTTGGAGAGATATTAAAGAAATTGGTGTTATATTATTATCCGCAGTCATTCTATTCTCTGTAGGAACTGTTTGCTCCCTTATAACAAATTTTGCTACAAAAGCTCCAAAGCAATGGTTTTGGGGTTTAATATTTGCAGGTCTATTCCCAAATATTTCAGACTTACCTATTGCTTATGTGCAAAGTATGGGTAATGGTACTATTTTTACTGCTGCTGAAGCCGATAAAGGTGTTGCATATTCCTGTATTTTTTTAACTGCTCAAAGTTTCTTACTGATGAATTTTGGTTTATGGAGACTGGTTGGCCTGGATTTCAAGAATGCCAAGAAAAATGACACCGAATCAACTGTAGAAGATTCTAGTACAAGTTCAGAAGCTGAACATAAATTTGTACCTTCAACCCAAGTTCCAATACAGTCCAAATCAAAAAATAATGATTATTTAGGGGAAAACCACATGGAACATACTTATGAGGAAATGCAATCAATACGATCATTACCAAATACTGAAAGCTTAACGAGAAGCATAAACTCTACATCTACGGATCCCGAAGAATATTCAGTAAGAAGTTTAAATCCAGATAACTTCATAAGGAATTCAACTTCACTTGATGCTTATAAAGTATTCTCTGCCGCATCAAGTCCAGCATTCTTAGAAAGATCAATCGAAAACCCATTGGAGAACAATTTAGAAGAATCTACAGAAGGAAATACTGATTTAAGGAGAAGGAGAAGGAAGTCTTCAGTTAATAATGTCATTGAAGAGTATAGTGAAGTCACAAGAATTAAAACAGGTGAATTAGATTTATCAAAGCCTTTAACACTATTAGAAGATATAGGGACTCATAACGTAACTATAACAAAAACCTCAGAGGGTAATACTTCAGTTAGTGATGGGATGGAAGAAAACTATACCAATGATTCAAATAGTGAAAATGCTCCTCATTCTATTAGAGCGAAGTTTAATAAATTCATGACAGACCATAAGCTAGAATGGTTGGTTTATATAGGTATCAATTTCTTCCGTCCTGCCTCGTTAGGTGCACTTTTAGGTATCATATGTGCTCTAATTCCTTGGGTGAAGGCATTATTTGTTCCTACATACGTGCATGTTCATATGGCGCCAGATGGCGAACCAGTTTTAAACTTTTTGATGGATTTTACAGCATATATTGGTAATGCCTGTATTCCATTGGGTTTATTGATGCTGGGTGGCACCTTGGCCAGACTGGAAATCAATACATTACCAGAAGGATTTTTAAAAACTGCTGTCGCAATGACTGTATTTCGTTTAATGGTATTGCCGATAATTGGTGTCGCATGGGCGAATAAGTTAATGGATATAAATTGGATGGCAACTGCTATTGGTAAATTTGTAATGATTTTAACATGGTCAATGCCTAGTGCCACAGCTCAAGTTTATTTTACAGCATTTTATACTCCTCTTGAAGGAGACCATACCCAAATGGATTGCTTATCAGTTTTCTTTTTAATGCAATACACCGTTTTATTCATAACACTGTCATTTGTAGTGACATATACTCTAAAGGTAGATTTAAAGGTTTAAGCATATTTCTCAAAAATTAATCATTGCATAAACGAGTATATAAAACTTTCATAACTTTCGTCATATATATTTATTACTCTTTAACATTTTTACTTCATTTTTTGTTGTTTATATAAAGTTTTAACTATCAGAAGAATATGAAACTTCACTGGCACCATCACATTAAAAGACTGTAATAATGTCAGTTCAAGACTTGAATTTAAATCATAATAATAAAAAGTATTTTGTAATAAAAAAATTGAAATAAGGGATTAAAAGAAATAGGTTTGATATAAAAATAAAATGCAATAGTAAAAACTTGAAATAAAAAGTTATAATGATTATAAAAAGTGACTTTTCCTTATTCTCCTTTTTTATTGTTTATCTTTTAAAATGTTGATAATATTGCATTAGTAGATATATACAATCCATTCATCGATCGATCTGAATAATTGGTAAAAGGATAAATTAAGAAATATGAAACATTCAACTCAAAAAAAATTTTTGAACAAAAGGTAAAAAACAGATTTCTTAAATTTAAGCCAAAGATGGCAAGTTAGCAGTGTCAATACCTTGCTTCTTTTCAACGTGGTTACCGTTGTTACCGTTGGTTGGCTTTCTACCACCTCTGGTGTTGTTTCTGCCACCTCTACCTCTGGCATTTCTACCACCTCTGTTACCGTTAGATCTTTGTTGTGGTAAAGCGTCAGAGAAGGTAGCGTCGAAGGTCAAGAATTCCTTAACCTTCAATTGCTTAGACTTGACATTCTTAGTCTTGGAAGCTTCAACTAAAACTTCTTCTTCCTTGAAGACGATTTCAGCATTTTCCAAAGCTTCAGCTTCTCTAGCAACTTCTGGTTTCTTGTTCAAGTCGTTAGAGGAGACTTCTTGCAAGTAAGCGTTCAAAGACATTCTGTTGTCAGCGACAGCAGCTTGTGCAGCAACATCGCCAGCCAATTCGGCATCAGCATCAGCCTTAGCTTCAGTTTCAGCATCTAATTCGTTACGGTCATCACCCCAACCTCTGTTAACTCTCTTTTGAGTGTCAACCTTACCAGATCTGGATTGACGGTCAGTACCTCTTCTAGTGTTGGACTTCTTGGTGGCAGCAGAAGCTGGAGAATCCTTGGATCTGTTTTGTTGTCTACCAGCAGCCTTGTCTCTAATAGCACGTTCGTTACCAGTTGGTTGTGGTCTGTTCTTGTTGGCTCTAGCTGGGTTAGCAGATGGAGGTGGGACATCAGCTTTCTTTGAAGAAGTAGTCTTCTTAACAAGTTCCTTTGGAGCAGTCAAGACGACGTTAGCGTCTTCGACATCGTTGCCTAGTACATCGAATGGGTTAGACATATTTAATTATTCAGATTGATGAGATGGTCTTGTTGGAAGTTAGAACAAAGAATGGGAAAAAAGAATTTACAAGTAATTAATTGATCGATGAACCAATTTATAACGGGAAGTACCAGTGTGTATTGTATAAGAAGTTAATTGAGTTTTATTAATATATATATGAAAGTAGGTATGAGGAAGTAAAAATTGGATAAAAGTGAGTAAAAGTTTACTAGATTAGTTGGATGAAGAGTAGTTAGATAGAGAGAAGGAGAATATTATTAGAGAGCAATGGTAATAAGAGATATGAAATGGGAGTTAGTATGTATGTAAGTAAAAAAAAAATTTTCTTTTCGAAAAGCATTAGCTCTTTTCGCTAGAGTGAAACAAAACTCAGAGTGAAATTACCGCAGAAACCAAGAGAGAAATCAAGAAAGAGGAAGACAAAAAAAAAAGTTCACACAAGTGAATTAATTATACTGACCTCAGTTGAAGATGGTATATATATTTATAAGTAATTGGTTATTTAGGTGTAAGATACAACAGGAGGAGCAAGAGTTTGGTACTGGAGAGAAGTGTGTGTGTGACAGACAGACAGACAGAGCAAGTATAGTTAACATCATGCAGATATGGTTGAAAAGAGAGAGAAAAAGAAGTCTGGTAGCTGTGCAAGATATACTGGACGAGGTATATCCTAACCATACGTTAAGTAGTGCATTTTCAGTTCAGTTCAGTTCAGTTCATCTCATCTCGATTCATTAATTGTCAATAGTGTCTTGTCAATTAGTAGACAGTACAAGTAACAATACCAATACCAATACCATCATCATGATCTCTTGATTTGTACGATGTAGCTTAGTATTCTGACAAAACTTCACAATTAAAACGCTGTTGTGCTTTGATTTCATAAAGTGAAAAATTTCGATGAGCCCTACGAATCTGGAAAATGAAAATGAAAATAATAAGAGAGCCAAAACTGCTTTCCACATAGTTTTCTCTTATATGTGAAATATTTCAGACGATGTATAGGTGAGAGAATATGCAGATAGAAAGAGGGAACAGAGAACAGAGAGAACAGAGAGAAGAGAGAGAACCGAACGAGCGAGAATACTGTAAATGGATTTTTTTTGAGTCTGTGCGTCATGAGAAATTTGTATCACATTAGGTATTCCAGTAATTTCGCACTTGTATCAAGAGAAGAGGAACAAAAAGAAGCGATGAAAGCTTCTTGCTCTTTAAGCTTTTATTTTTTTCTCATCTCGTTGGGCAATTTATCTAGTTTTTTTTTATTTTTTCAGTATGGATGGGTGGGCTGCGGTAGTTTCTTTTTTGTTTGTCCTCGTGATGCTTTGAGATCATACCTTACGTGAGCAAAGATGAACGGATGCGGTTTGCGGGTAACCTGAGCCCAGAGGCACAGAGACAAATACAAAACACTTACCCGGGCAACCTTTATTTTTCGCTTTGTCCGTTGATGGTCCGTTCCTGTCGTAAGGAAGAGAAAGCTTCCGCAGACATTGACAGCAGATTAGATGATAGTCAGATACAGAAGGGGAGAAGAACCGACTCTTGTTCAGAGAGACAAACGCACCCAACAAAGAAACGAATATATTAATGGGTCACCCTTAATTTCCTAGTTAGGAAAAGACACATCTGTGCACATCGGCGGCTAAGTTCTTAACAATTGTGTATGTGTTGGCAGCAGAAAGAGAGAGAGAGAGATACACACACACAGTTTTGGGCCATTCTATTGATATGGATGCTATTTCAGGAGCGACTGTATCTTAAGAGACAAAACAGTACCATTTATACGCCGCCACAGTATCCTTTTCAGGAAAGAGAATCAATTACAACGCAAACCAATGATAACGATAACGATAAAACTAAAGCTGAAAATAGATCAGAAGAGGATCACTGCCAATCCCCAATTGGAGAACTGACTACTCATTAAAATCAACCAATTCAACACATATAAATAGCGAATGAAAAGACACATAAACTTCTATATATTTGTTTTGCTTGTTGTTGTTGTTGTGATTTTTGTGTTAACATTTTAATACCACTCAGATCCAGTCAATGAATCTGTTTCTTGTTCTGCCAGCACATTCAAGTTGCAGCAATGTTTTCATATGGATGGCCACAAACAAGATTTGTGGCCTTACTATTATGTATATGTATCTGTACTCGCTAAATTATATAACGATCCTTCTCACCTATGAACGCACTACAAATTACAATTAAACAATAAAGTAAACCAAAATGAGTCTGTTATTCATGTGGTTTAGGCCCTTTTTTTGTTTTTTTGATTTGTTACTGCTTTAGATGTTCGAAGTTTCCAATTAATTGCAATCACTTTTATTGTGACTGCGCCAAGAAACTAGACATTTCATCTTCTTATTTACCATCATCTTAGGTGTCTAGTCTCCCTCCCCCCCATCCTAGTTACGATGTATCACATTATTTTCAACCATTATATATGTGTCTAATATTTTGTGGGTTCCATCCTTCATAATATAATCCAAAATCAAGATCAAAGAAAAGAAAAAAAAACATAATAATAATTAAGGAAAATTAAGATTCCAAAAAATCAAGAATCATCCAAAAAAAAAAAAAATAACAATAATACCTTTAGGACATCTGAATTGACTGATATCACGAACCAGGAATGGTTAGTTGAACAAAACTTCAATAGCACCCAGGACTAAGTTCCTATACTCTTTGTATACCTTCTTTCTCTTCTTCACCTCCTTCTCTTTAACGTTTCTCTCTATTTGCACTGCATCAATTAAAGGATACTCAAGAATTTATTCAAAATTTTACTTCTCATTACCACAAGAAATTCAATTTTTATTTAATCATTGAAAATTTCAATAATTATCTATTTCTCTAACTTTTTCCCATCCCTTTTACATAATATCTCACAACATATCATATCATTTACTTCTTATCCTTGTATAGATATCCTATCTATTTAAGCTAAATTTCAATCCTGGAAACGAAATCTTATACATTAAAGATAATAAGTTGTTGGATACTACAACTGAAGTTCTAACTTATACTCCACAACAGACCTGACACACACATACACATACTCATATACATACTCCAAGCATATTTCCATCATCTACATCTAGCAGGCACACAACGCACAAAGAATTGGAAATGTTGATTACTTCAAATCAAGAAAATGTACGTTCTTTGATAAAACCACTGTCAACTACATCTCCTGCTGCAATAGCTGCTGTTCAAATGGTTACTCCAAACAAATTATCTTCACTTTTATTGAAACGAGGTCCATTGGCAATAAGACATATCACTCAAACTTTAAGTGAAGAAATCCCAAGTTTTAAAGATTTATCCTCTTCGAAACAAAGAAGATTGATCATGAGTGTAATGGAATCGGGAGATGAATCAAATAATGTTGTTTTTGAAAAAATTGGTTGGGGTCAATGGAATGCAAAAATTGTAAATGAAAATGAGAATTTTATTGATATTAGAAGTTTAACAAATTTAAATAATGCTAAGATTAAAGATATGATTTCACAGGAATCTCAAAAAAGAAGAAGAAAAAATAATTCAAATCTACAACAACAACAAACTTTCACCGCCTCGAGCAAGAACGTCAGTGTGACACAATTGAAAAATTGTATTAATGAAATTGAAAATTCAAAAAATCCAACAACAATTGTTGAAAAAGAAGAAATTGATGACAACAAGTATAGTCATAATATAAAATTAATTGAACAATCTTCACCAAAGAAACGATTTAAACAGTTGTCATGTGAGAATGGAAAACACTTTAATAATGATAAAGACGAAGATGACGATCGTGTGCAAAATCTTCCTATTGATGAAAATAAATATGACGCAGATGTTGATTTAGGTGACGGTGAACCTGTTGATGATGAAGATTATGAATATGATCGTAATCATAATATAAAAATTCATAGTAGGCCGTTTATTAAAAAAGAATTTGAGCATGAAGAAAATAATGAAATTGAAGATATCGACCTTTATAATATTCAAAATAATTTAGAGTTTATGCCACACGTAAATCCGAATGCTTATTACACGTTCACAAATGTTTCAAGGGTAAGAAAACCAACAATTGTACTTTCAGATTCAAATTTGCTTTCAAAGGATCTAGAAAAGGCATTTTTATTCCAAAGGAAAGTTAAACAATTAGGAAAATATCAGCCTAATAAAAATTTAACAAGAAAAGGCCATAATCGCCAACATAATTCCAACACAATTCCTTCAAATAATAACAATAATACAAATGATAATGACAATATTAATAATGACAATCACAACAACGAAGATAAACCAAAATTCTATACTACTACTTCTGGCACTCAAAAATTATCAAAAAGACGCCTTTCCATATCAAAGGAATCATCAATAAGATCAACATTATATTTTGCAAAAAATAAAAACAAAATTAAAAGTAAAAATAACCAAAGTTGTCTCAATAATGACATTCCAAGATTTCATCAGGTAAGAAAAAATATTGATACTGACATAAATAAATCCTTCCATTCCGAAACAGATGAAGAAGATTGGGCTACGATTGGTGCAATATCATTAAGAAATCCAAAGAAAAATGAGTTAAAACTAATTGCTGATCCAAAAGAAAATGAAGAAGATAGTAATAAAAATAAAAATTCAGTATCATTTGATGAAAATAATGCCGCCTGTTTGCTCCTAAGTTTGAAATCGTGATATATCAAGGTACCTTCAAATCTAATTATTTCGTCTTGATTTGTTTTATCTTTTGCATAATGTCACTGTATTAATCATATTCATATTTTGCATTTACTCTAATTTATTAAACAAAAGCTTAACTGATCAATCAATATTTCCCTTGTTTGTGTCATCTAGTTTCATTCAACAGAAAAAGCATAAATAGAGATTCAAGTTTACTTCAATATGTAGTTCCTTTATAGTCATTCAGTTATCAAACTTTTATCCATATCTTTTAATATTTTAATTTATTAAAATTTATTTTCTCATTCAAGATATCATTTGAGACAGGTGTAAAGATGCATCACAACACATGAGTTCAATTAATTTTCTATTTATCAACTACAACATTTAATCGACTATATCTGCACTATTTATTTCTTCCTCGGTGTTTTCCAAAGACAGATTTTCTAATTGGTTTTGATTATATTCATCTTGTAAATGTTTAAAATCTTCTTCATTTTCCAATAATGCCTTAACACCAATTATATCAGCTTCGTTAAATAATTCTAGGTATGCTTCAGCTTCTTCTATAGGGGTATCCGCAAAGACTTCGTTTATCTTTTCCAAATTTTCGGATTTAATTGCATCTTGCATCTTTTTAGGCAGCTTATTGAATACTTCAACTCTTTTAACCTCTTCTGGGTCAGACGATGAGAAATCTGGTAAATTGATTTCCAATTCCGTAGAATCATCCAATGATTTCAATTGAATAGTCTCTACACCTTCACCATTTTCAGCTTCTTCTTGTTCCATAACCTTAACACGGTTCTTGACATGCTCAAACTTATTTTTAACAGAGTCTAAAAATGAATTTTTACCCATACTATTGTTTGGGTTGAATATAACTCTTTGGAAGAAAACTTTAATAGTTTCTGACATTTGGTCAACAATCAAATTTGGAATTTTCTTCAATGCATACACCTCACGAACATAGCCTAGTAACTCTGACTGATGGATTACTTGATATGTTTTTTTTTCGTCACCTTCCATTTGGTATTCAAATGCCTTCATCATCAACGCATCCTTTTGTTGTTCAGAAATAATTTGCATATGATCCAATAAGAATTGTTCAGATTTTTTATAATCATTTACTTCAATTATTCCAAATTGTTCTGTTTCGGGAGCCAATTTCATGATATCTTCCCCATAATCAATGAATTCTAGTTCGGGTTTAAATTCAGGTAATTTATCGACTTTTCCGACAGCATGAGACTCTGAAATCGATTCTAAAGCAACTGCATTTTTATCATTTGCCTGATCCTCTCCTTTTGTATTCATGAAACCACTGTCAAATCCGGTATGGATATCTTCAGAAGAAATTAATTACTTTTTTTTTATAAAGTCCCGGTATTTTTCAGTAGCATCCTTTGTGACATTTGTGATTTTTTCTCTATGCTTCAAACACAACTGGTTGATAATGCTACCATCCTTTGGATCCTTTCCTTCCTTTTTGGCATCACTTGCTAATTGCTCAAATAAATCTTCAACCATTTCATTATATGATGGAATATTAGGATCAACATTTTCACCTGTCTGTTTTTCATGTTTATCAAAATTGGCATTTAAAAACTTAGAAATATTGTCCAAGTTACCTAATTCACTTACAGGAACTTGAGCCAATAATTTATCCACTCTTTTATTTAGAGAATCATACATACTAACTTGAGTCTCTAAATTTTTTATATCCTGATTTCTCTTCATTCTATTTTCATGAATACTTTGCTGCTTCCATCTAATGAATGAGCGTTTATCGACGTTTGGATGAACCTCGACATCAGAATCATCAGATAATTCAATCTTGTCCCACTTAGAATAATCAATAGCCATATTTAATAGTAATATATATATATAACTGATCCAACCCAAAATTAATTGTCTATTTTCTGCTTTGCCCTAATAATAATAAGACAATAAAAGTTGCCAAAAAAAAATCCACGTAAAACTGTCGTATTTCTTTACAACTCAGTATATGTAAATTAACTGAATCGTGAATCTAATTCGAAAGGTCTGTAGATATTATTCTTAAATAATAATCAATTACAATCCTTTTTATATACTCTATAGCATTAACTTTTAGCTTTTATCTTTTAATATTAGCATTTGTATTTAAATTTGATATATGGATTTAATTTGAAGGGGGAAGAAATTACTAGAAACCTAGGTAATAAAGCTTCGTTTACAATGACAATTATAATGTATTGGTATATGTCCAATTTTGAACTACAGCAACTATATTAATCTATAGTACATGGTATAGGTAGGCCTGAGAAATAAAAACTATTATAGATACAAATTATATTCATAACGATATACACTTTCGATTATTGCTATGGCAGTTGTGACAACAGCTATGATGATTATAGTGATAACAATACTTATAATGCAGATGTCTTGTCCAGTGTAAGCTTTCCTAGTACTTTTACGTTTCCAGGCTCTCTTTAAGTTCTTCACAATCCGTCGTTATTCATGTGATAGGAAGTCAATTTCATTTGAATTAAGACTCTAAAAATGACACTGGTAGAGCTATTTTATTTTAACAGTGGTTTGAGATGGGGGAGGGGAGGGGAGGAAGGAGTTGAATTTTAACGATAAAAGTCTGGTCTTGTAATGTTTAACCCATATTCTGATACAGCTGCGCTTAAGTCGCTTACTGTTAGGACAACCTTACTTTGAGTGTTTTTTTCATTTTGCTGTTGTTGCTGTTGGGTTAATTGTTGTTGCTGCTGTTGTTGTTGAGCGGCTAGTAATTGTCTGGCTCTGGATTGACCATTATTTGCATTACTGACGGATACCGATGATCTTATTCTTGAATATTCGTATGCATCAGTAGTTATATCACTAATGAATTTTTGTGTTGCTAAAGCTAGTAATCTTTTAACCCTTTTATCTGAACAATTGAATCCATTTTTTGTCATATAGTAATCGATTACAGCATCTGGGATAATTGGAACATTTTCATCCATTAGTTCTAAGATTTCACTCAGAGTTTTATCCTTTCTTGTGAATTCTGGTAGTTCGAATAATTTTTTATCGTCTTCGATTTTTTTATTATCTTTATCGTTGTTATTGGTAGCAGATTTTGAAGTAGTAGTGGAATCGTTATTATTCTTTTCATTAAAATCACCATTTGAATCTGAGACTCGTTTATCTTCTTTGGATGTAAATAACCCGTTATCTATTTGACCTTCTTCGTTATCATTAAATTCATCATCTACTTCTACATCCATTTCTTGGTCAAAATCATTTTCTGGTTTTTCGTTCAATCCAATTTCCTGACTCATTTTATGTGTAGCTGAAAGTTTATATGTATATGTATATGTATATGTATGTGTATTTATATGGATATGAAATACCAGTAAGTATGTTTACGATATTTCCCAGGATATATCAGGATATTCTTGATATAAGATTAGTCTACTATTGATTGATGCCATTATTAGTTAAACGGAACTCTATTTACTTTATTCAATTGTGAATACATAAATTTCAAAAATTTCAATAAAAAAAAAAGACGAAGAAGGCAAGATTGAAATTTGTAAAGTGATCCGGGTAAATATAAATATGTGTAGTATGCCGGATATTCCAATATATACCAATACTTATTATACTTTATAAGAATAAAATAAAAGATCCTAACTACAGAAACCCATAAGTATAGTATTAGGATATAGTGTTGGATAACTAATTGTTTTCCAATTGACCCTTCCATTTGAACAGATTTATTTCCTGGACAGACAAAAATAAATAAATTAACATCGATGCAAAGTGGAACAATATAACAAGAATAATTATTAAGTGTCTGCTATTTATATGAAGCGAATGATGTAAATTTGACTTGTCTTAAATCTATTCAATATATATTATTCAGTTCCAATTGTGTATATTTAATGCAAACATAAATAGAATCAATTTAGGTGGTCTTGATGCAATTACAGCGTATCTAGAAAGACAGGACAAGAAGTAGTGCAGAAATTCAAATAATTAGCCGCGGACCTTTTTTACGACTGATTGTTCTCTCATTGTTTTTATTCTACTTTCTTTATTAGTATATATATATATATGTGTGTGTGAGGGGGGGGGGGGGGGGGGGGGCTGGAAGGATTTACAGAAAGAAGATATCATCGATCTTTTAATAATATCTGTAAAAGTGGAGTAAAAGTAATAATAAATGACGTTTCCATTCATTTTATTACTGTTCGATGTTTGATCACACCATAAATATTAGAAATTGGTGGGGTAAATCAATTATGAATTATCAATTGAGACAATGTAATTTACTAAAATTAATTAATGCACATAGGTTAAGGGAATTATATAATTTGTATATAAAGGGAATCAAATTACAGGAATAAACAAACAAAAAAAATAGAGAATTATGTTATCTTCTCTTGATGAAAAAGAAGTTAAAATTAAAATTAAAACTGCTTAAGATATTATTGGATATCTTTCACTTCTCTCTCTTTCTCTTCTTTACAATTTATTCGTCTCTCTTTTATATGTTCTTGCTTTCTAATACCACATTTGGAATTTCAGAAACACTGCTGTTATATATATATATATAACATGTCTTGCATCTCTGGCAGTATATGACTGTGGTATTCAGCATTTGAATAAAACTTCAGTTTGGATGCCTGTAGTGTTATGGTTTACCCTGCCTTGTAATTTTTTGAATTGTACTATAAAAGACTTAACTATGCACTACAATATACAATCAGAACTTTATTTACAGAGAATGGCACGCAGAAGGAAGAGAAGTGTTAATTTTTTTCTTTTTACTAGTTAGTTTGATTTAGTTCGTTAGCTATATTGTATTCGCTCCGTTTCGTCATTTTAGATTTATTTATCTATCTATCTATCATTCTTCGATTGATTTTTAATATTTAATACTTGTTTTTAAAGGGGAAAGAAAATTTACATGTATATATACTTACACACACACATATATATATATATATATATATATATATATATAACTTAGGATTTTTTTTAAGTAGACAATTGAGAAACTACAAAAGCACCAAGTAATCAATTAATCAGTCAATTTTCATCAATTGTTGATATACATTATGGAAGACCCTTTTAGTATTAATGAAAATGATTTATTGGATTTTTACGATTTAAAAACTTTAAATCCAATTGATTCATGGAATGATGATTCAACAAAATTAATTGACTTGAGTAAATGGCAAACTCAAATTCCAATGTCGGATAATTCATACGAAATACTAAAGGATTTATTGACCCAACAACAAACTTGGAAAGATGAACATTTAAAATTAATCAATAAGGATTTAATATTAGATCCACTAAATAATGAAAAAATTGTTCCAATTTTAAATTCTTTAAGCGTATCACAAGATCTTCAACCACAATTTTTAATTAATAATAAGAAATTCAATGTTATAAATTTTTTGAAAACTATTCATAATAAAGATTCTTTCGATGATTTGTCAAGTTCTTTAGATTATTTAGATATGACTTTACAAAATCAATCTGACGAATTAAAGATTTTAGTACAAGATAATTTTACAAAATATGTTAAAGTTAAAAATAGATTGGACCAAATTTACGAAAACTTTGCAAGTTCAAGCTCAACTTCAAATTCAAATAAAAATAATGATTTTAATAATAGAATTAATATTGAACATTTAAGTGAAAAAATTGATGATCAAGTAAAATTTACCAACTTGAAATTAAAACCATTATTAGATCGTTCAACAAAAATTTCAAATTATCAATTAACCAAAACTTTTATTGAAGAAAATAAAGAATTTATAAATTCAACAAAAATTTTAAGAAACTATTTGCATAAGAAGGATTATAAAAATTTAATGATAGAATATTCCAAGATATTAAATAATTACAATGAAATTTGTTTATTATATAAAAATAATGATATTGAATTACCTTTAGTAATATCAAAAATTTGGGACGGTGTCTTAAATATAATGGATACTTATCGAAAACAGATTTGGAATAATTTAATAGATATCGAAAATAATAGTCAAGACACCTTCTTACCTTTGATTTCAAAATTGTTAGATCTAGATTTGAAAGAACAAAACCCTATTATACAATGGATCTTAACTAGATTAGAGAATTTTGAAGATAAATTTAACAATATTTCAAATGAAATGAAATCGAAAATTATTAAAAGTCAAAAAACAATCCTATCAAATTGTAATATAAATGGAACAGAAAATGTAGAATTAAATCATTACCTATCAATTAACAAAGCTGTCCGTTTTAGAAACGTTACTTCTGATGGGTTCAATGGTACATCTTACAATAATAGAATGAGTACCTTAAATTCAAGCTCGACAAATAATTACACTATCGGTGAAGAATCTACTAATGTAGAAGATAGAGGTTCAAATACGACAGCAATTATGTCGTTCCAAGGGTTAACTGACTCCTCGATTATCGTAGAAATGTGGATGTTATTATTAAGATATAGCAGTTTATTAGAAGAAACTAGTAAACAATTTGTCGAGTTCTGGGAGCATGTTGAAAAATTCTTAGATGGGACATATCAAAATTCTTTATTAAATGATAAAAAAAAGGAAAACATCTTAGTCGGAGAATTATACACGATCGATGATTATCGTAACATTTTAGTTTTGGAAACCAAACAGGTTAATGATATAAGGAAAAGAGGTCAATCGATAGTCGAGTTAATTTCAAATAAATTAATGACATTATTCCAATCTTCTCATTTTAACTTATTTAATGATGAAGACTCGGAAAATATTCAAATTACAAAAGTCGAAAATAATTCAAATTCTAGTGTAACAGATTTCGGGTTTATACCACCAAATGCAAACTGTCTAAGTTGTTTAAGATATTTACCAAGAGTCGTAGAACCAATTTTGGTCTTCACAACCGAAATAGCCCAATTAGGTATTACATCTAGGTCAATTGATGTTTTAAGAGAAGTTGTATCAGTGGTGCTGGAACGTTCAGTTAGCGCAATTTCAGCAACAAAATTAAGAGATTTGGCTGATTTTTACAAATTAGAGGATTGGCAAGCATATGAAACTGTTGCCACTAATGTCAATGGACATAAAATCGAATATTGCGTAACACAGTTCCCTGAAATAATCAGGGTCTTCCAAGAATTAAGTATCCAGACAATTAGGGATTTGTTATTCTCTTTCGAAAAGTTACCTGTATTAAATGGTATTTCAATTATTAATTATCCTTCAAAGCAATTGTTGACAAATATTGAATCGCAACAAATTGTGTCGATGGAATCTGTATTGGAAGCTATTTTGAAAAATGCAGCCAAGGACAAGGATAATCCAAGAAATGCACATACTACATTAACTTTGACCAATTTGCAATATATCAGGGAGATCACATTCCCACAAAGTTTGCAATATTTTGATGAAGCCTTTGAATGGAATTTGAAAGACAGAAATCTAAGCGTTTTCAATTTATTAGGTAAAATGGAACAATCAATCTTCGGTAATTATTTAAGTGATTTAAAAATCAATTTAAGAGATATTTTAGAAGAAAAATTCAGAGAAATCAGTTGGGCTACATATTCATCCAATTCATTTAGAGTTAGTGATTATATTATTGAAGGTTTGATGGTTTTGGTTACAGTTCACAGTGAATGTTTCAGAATTGGGCCTCAATTGATCAATAAGATTTTAAAAGAGAGTCAAATTTTTATCGCAAAATATCTATTTGAATCTTTCAAGCCATATATTGGTAATGTATCATCTGATGGGTTATTGCAAATTACAGTTGATTTACAATTTTTCCAATTTGTATTAGGTGAATTATTGGAAAAAGATACAAAGATACCGCTAACTGCATGTTTACAAAATTGTTTCCAAAATAATACAGAAAAAATGCAAAGGTGTATTAAAGAAATTGAACCAATTGTTCAATCAAATATAACAAGAACATCTATTCAATNTGCGGCATTCAAGTGAAGAATTATTCTCCACTTATCTCTTCTATTATCTCACACTTTGTAATTAATGATGTAATTATCTATACATATTTATATATATAGCGCATTCAAACAATCATTCATATACCAGTTCCAAGGTTTAATTATATTGCAAGCTTTTGATGTACAAAGGTGTTTTTTCATATCTATAATATCTGTCCATTACTTAAGAAAAGTTAAAAATAAGTATGCATGCGAATATATCTACCTGCCCATCCGTGAGATTGAAGAAAATATTAATTTAATGTAGAGGGAAAAAAAAATTAAAATAAACGCTTTTAAAATTGAAAAGTTGTGGAGCTTTTTCTGTTAATAATGGAAGAAAGTTAGATCTGATATTTGAGACTAATGGATTCTTATTTCAACGATTAAAAGATCATTACAATATTCATAGACTACGTGAGAAGGTCATTCTGTGTGGTGGTAATTTTTCCCAATGATTGAACATCCTAGAATTGCTAATGGCTGGTTTAGAGAATTAAGCGATGACCATTTCCCCGGTCAAGCATTAATGTTAAAAGTTGAAGAGGTACTACATCATTCAAAGAGTGAATTCCAAGATATTTTATTATTTAAGAGTGCTGAATATGGTAACGTATTAGTATTAGATGGGATTATTCAATGTACCGAGCGAGATGAATTTGCCTATCAAGAAATGATCTCACATGTACCGTTATATTCTCATAAGAATCCCAAGAAAATTTTAGTTATTGGTGGTGGAGATGGTGGTGTAATAAGAGAAGTTGTTAAACACTCATGTGTTGAATCTGTAACTTTAGTAGAGATTGATAGAACAGTAATTGAATTATCTGAAAAATATTTACCAAAAATGTCATCAGCGTTTAATCATCCAAAAGTTGATGTAAAATTATGCGATGGCTTTAAATTTTTAAAAGAAACGGCTGGTTTAAATAGTGTTGAAAAATATGATGTTATTATTACAGACTCATCAGATCCTGATGGGCCAGCAGAAGCATTTTTCCAAAAAGAATACTTTCAATTGATTTTCAATGCGTTGAAAAAAGATGGTATTATGATTGCACAAGCATCAGAAAATATTTGGTTGGATTTAAATTATCTAAAGAATTTAATGAAAACGAGTAGATCGATTTTTAAAAACACGCAGTATTGTTATACAATGGTTCCTACTTATACTTCTGGACAATTAGGATTAATTGTTTGTAGTAAAGATGAAACAATTGATATCACAGTACCACAACGTAAACCAGATATAAAAGAACAAGGTTTATTAAGATATTATAATCCTGATATACATTCAGCATCCTTTGTTTTACCGACATGGGCTAATACTATTATTAATGTAGAGTAGTTGTAGTAACAATAACAATATTAATACAAAAATTTATATAAAAGATATGGATGGACATTAAATCATTAATTTTGATAGTTATCAATTTAATTTAGTTTAATTTAATTTAGTTTAGTTTAGTTTAATTTAATTTAATTTAATTTAACTGAAAATATCATCAATAGCGGACTTTGGTTTTGATTTTTTCTTTTTTTTGGATTTATTAGACATTCTTCCATCTTTAGTATTAGAATTAGAAGTTTTATTAATATTTAATAAATTAATATCATCAATTGATAAAATTGGATAATCCTTTGTTATTTCCATTAATTTATTTCCATTATCTGACATATCTTTAAGATTTTCACCTAATTCTTCATTGGTTATAGACTCTAACAATTTTTCTGTTTCTTTATATTTCATATCATTAAAATTATCATTTCTACTGTTTGTAATAATAGCTTTACAACCATATTTAATAAAATTATCCTTAAATAATTCCAAAATATCAATGTAGCAGTTATAAATTCTGCTTAGTAAACCTATTAGAACTACACCCAATGTCACGAACTGGCCCAATGCAATAATACCATTAAAATCATAATATATTTTATTAATTTGTTTATTAATTAAATTCTCGATTAAATTATACAGTTTAAACCAATTTTTGGATCCTTTAATTTTCTTATCCTGTAGAATTTCTATAACTTGTCCACAGCTTCTTTTCAATATGTTGAATCTTTTCCACCATATTGCAACGTGGTGTTGATTTTTATTTCTATGATATAATAGATGTAATATCCGATATTCTTGATGCAATTTTAAATATATTTTACGATGGCTGTAATCATCATTACCATCATTTTTATGTTTTTTGTTACTATTGTTAACAATATCACCTTCTATCATAGTACACTCGATCAGAAACTTGTCAATATATAACGATTTACCATTACTTAGCCTTTTTCTCCAATTTAATCTTTAATTTAGCTTTGCAATTATCATTTCATCTCTTTATCCTTTTAGGTAATTTCTCAAATATTAACTACTATTATCAATTCTAACACTTTCTTGAGTGTTTTTTTTCCGCTTAGCATAAGAAAAAGAACTTCAAGCATTCAATCAATATTCACTACTGCAGCTTTTTTACTAGAATTTGTTAACACAAAAAGTGGTATTAATAGTTAAATTAATATTAATTTAAAACCAAAGATATTATTCAAAGCTAAAATGATCTGCTTTTGATTTGGTAATAATTACTTGACAAGAGTAAATTAAATTGGAGGTTATCATTCCTATGAATAAGAGGCTGATTCAAAAGATTAATTTGTATTTTTGTGTTATTTTTTTTTGAAAAGCATAGAAAGATAAATCAAAACATTTGTACCTGTGCATTACATTCTTCGAGATTCCTGTTTCCATTCAAGTTAATTTAATTTACAAATCTGGATTGTAATATTATAACGGTATTAGGTTCGTAGCTCTAAATAATGTTTTGAATATCATCGCAGAAATTATTTTAAATATATTTATTAAAAATTGCCTAATTTAATTTATAAATTGAGTATCCTAGAAAGGAAAATTTAAGATCTGCCAGTTACAATCTTATATTAATCAATTAATTAATCGATTATTGTCATTTCCACCAGCACTAAATAGAAGATTATAAACACTTTTAATAATTAATAAGAAAACCCCAAGGAAAGTCCATTAAATTGAGAAAAGGATCTTCACATTTGAAATTAAATTACTTTTCTTTACATGTCTATACACAAAATTAAAGTAAAGTAATTTAAGTGCCGTATTTTGTTTGTGTGACCATCACTACTCGCCCCCTCCCCACTACCACGGTTCTGATTTCTAAGTTAAATTTAAAACCAATTTCCAATTTCTAATTTCTAATTCTACTATAATTTGTTTTGTTTTTGAGGTTGTACAATAATCATGAATTACAATAATAGACCTATCCCAAAAATTACTATTGAGAATATAGATTTAAGTAACCCACCTCCTTATTCCGAGACAGATCCAAATACCGACCGTAATAACAATAATACTCAAGAATCACAATCACAACTTCCGCCGAGGATACCACAAAGACCCCACAGAAGTATATCCCGACAAAGTCGTACACCCCATAGAAGCAATAGTTTTGCTTCAATTCATTCAAGTCCGGCAACCCCAATTTCAAGAAATAACTCTCTATACTCAAGAAAACCTCCTTTACCTCCAAGATCCCCTTCACTTCGAAGTTATAATTCTAATAATGATCAATTTTTAGAACAAGAGAATCCACCTACTCTGCCGAAAAGACCCTCAAGTAGAGGATCATATAAAATGCAAGATGTTCTGAACAGTAATAATTATAATCAATTTTGTTCTGCTCAACAAGAATTTCAGTCTGGACCCAAACTTCCTAAAAGACCACCTTGTTTAATAAAAAGAAAAATGGTAGAAAGTGAAGAAATTACTGATACCGTTAATATTGAAACCGTCGACAATGTCGATTCTTATAAATCTGAACCAATTGAAACTGAAACTTTAGAAATTATTTCCGATGATTCTGCCGCTCAAAGTCCAGAAGCCGTGTCACAAGAACAGCCTATTGATGAAAAAGCAGAATGTGAACCAGAACCAGCACCTGTTGCAGAATTGCAACCAGGTACTGAAACATTAGATGAAACTGAAAAAATAATAGAAATGATGGAAACTTTTGAAATTGAGCAAGATATTTTCCAACAAACTTTACCAATTGGCCCACCTCCAGCAATTTTTCCACATACTGTACATCCAGTTAGTCCACCAATTATTACTCCATCCGGTTTGCCAATTGAAACAAATAAATTTTATGGAAATTTATTGTTAGCATCTCAAACTTTACCAACATGGACACATCCTTATTCTGTTTGGGTTGCAAAAGATCCTTCTCAATTCGGTTTGGCTGTCTCTTATGTTCCATCTTCTCAAAAAGTGTTCGCACCAGGCGTACCACCTGAATTCTATTTTAGTCCAGTTGGTATTAAATCTCTTGTTTTTGGTGCTACCGAATTTTCTACAGCAGCTGATATGACATTAGTATTGAAAAATCCAAAGCATATGTCAGTGCAATTACAAATTCAAAAATCCAGTACCTCATATTTTGTAGCTCCACTGGTCCAAGGTATGGGTTTTGTTACCGCGGTATATTCTAATATGACCCCTGTTGTTACTTCAGGTGTCGGTTTCGTTAGTTTGACCAAACTAACTTCAGTGAAACCTTTTCAACAAAAGTATTCGGTTTTGTTGCAAAACCAAGTAATCTGGACCTTGTACTTAACTGTAGAATCAGGGCAAACAGTTAATTTGACTTTGACTGACCCTAATACCATCAAAGCCAATGCTAAATTATCCAAGGCAATTATTCAAATTGTTAGAAGTACCGAAAATTCAATCGATACTGCCGCAGGTTGTTATTCTACAGACTGTGAATTGTCTGGTTATACCACAGGAACCATCGGTAAATATATTTTCAAGTATTCCACAAATGGATCCTCTCTAAGTGGTGCGAGTCTTCACTATGCCTTACCTCATCATGTTCAAACCTTCGCACCAACAATGGGGCCATTTAGAATCAATTCAAAATTGGATTCCACAACCAAAGGTGTCATGACTGGATATATAATAAATAAATTTGAAATGACAGTGACAATCCCTACAGCCTTAGGTTTTGCTCCATTTACTACTATTCCGGGTAAAGCATTCCCTAACTATACTACTGCTGAACTAGCTGCTATTCGTACAGCCGCCCAAGCAGATGTTCTTGGAGACGTTGTAACAGAATCAAATGTTAATTCAATGTATTTTGCTGGTAAGATTTTGGCTAAATATGCATGGGTTCTATATGTTTGTCAATACATTTTGAAAGATAGTACACTGGTTGCCACATTGATGCCAAAATTGAAAGCAGCATTTAATACATTTACCTCTAATACCCAAATTTTACCTTTGACTTATGATACTACTTGGAAAGGTATTGTTTCTTCTGGTGACTCATCGCAAGACTTCGGTAATTCATACTACAACGACCATCATTTCCACTATGGTTACCATGTTCTAGCAGCCGCTATTTTAGGTAAAGTTGACAATGATGCTGGTTCAAAGAATTGGATACCACAGAATAGAGCTTGGGTTGAAAGTTTAATTAGAGATTATGCTAATCCAAATGACAATGATCAATATTTCCCAGTCTTCAGATCATTTGATTGGTATCACGGTCATTCTTGGGCAAAAGGTTTATTCGTTAGCGGTGACGGTAAAGATGAAGAGTCTAGTTCTGAAGATGTTAATTCCGTATACGCTTTGAAATTGTGGGGTTTGGTTACTGGCGATGAATACATGGTTTCTAGAGCCAATCTGCAATTGGGTATAATGAGAGTTAGTTTGAACAATTATTTCCTATATGCTGATAGTAATCAAACTGTTCCACCAATTTTCAAACCAAACAGAGTAAGTGGTATTTTGTTTGAAAACAAAGTTGATCATACAACTTACTTTGGTACCCTAATTCAATATATACAAATGATCCATGCAATTCCTATTACACCATCCTCATCTTTCATAAGAACTCCAGATTTTGTAAGAGAAGAATACAATCAATTGTTAGCACCTATTGTTAATACTGTAGTTGATGGATGGAGAGGTGTTATTATGTTGAACGTAGCATTGTATGATCCAGCATCTTCTTATGCGTTCTTTACCTCTCCTGGTTTCCTACCCGCTTACTTGGATCCAGGTCAAAGTTTGACCTGGTCTCTGGCATACTCTGCAGCTTTTAATTGATTTTGTAAGAGATCACAAAAGTTGTATTGCGTTTAATTAATAGCTATTATTGCTAATTGAATACGTTCATATCTTTTGGTTATTTTGTACTAATTATAATATTTTAAATAGTAACTAGGTAACTAATGTATTTATGTATTGATGATGAAATTGTTTAATTAAATTAATTGATTTTGGTAGAACATATTAAAAATACATTGTGTTGTTACTAAGTTCAGTGATTGGTATCAAAAAATTACTCCGCGACGGGGAATTGAACCCCGATCTGGCACGCGACAAGCGCCCATTCTGACCATTAAACTATCGCGGAATACGATTTGTGATTATTGCTCAAATATAGAGACTACTACTCGCAACCATCCACAAATAAAATAATTATACTATCACAATTACCCTAATGTCATCCGAGATACAACTGCAGATGCTGATTTTCATTTGCCAAACAATGATTGCAACCAAGAATATAAAAATGCACAATTATTACCTCTTTTGTTAAATATAACACAATATCTGTAGAGAATTATGTTGTGGTTTTTCTACCGAATCATTCATAGTAATAGATTCTTTATTTATTTCCAAGGACATTCTTAATAAGTTGATATTGATCCGGTGTATTAAAGTATATAATATACACATGGGAATATAATTAACATGACAAGTGTCAATTAAGATCTTGTCATTTCTTATATAAAGTGTTGGAAAAGTTTTAACGTCAGAAATAACACTTTCGTGTAAAGTAACATTTCTTTATCCTATATGAATAATGTCGTAATACGTATATATCACGTGTTACCTCATAATTCTGACACACCTCCGTAAAGACATGTTTTTACGATCTTCTTAACTGATCATCAACATCTTCTTCTTGTCCTTGGATTTTTATTCTCCTAGCTCAGTTATACGAAGAATGTCTCCTGGGTGTAACTTATTTTCCGAGCATTCAAACAATTTCTTGAATTGAATTTGCGTTACTGTTTTTTGTTAAAATGTCAGTAACATTAAATAAACCAG